CTTTATGCGCGGTATTAAAATTCTTTCCCCGGCGGTCGTTTTATCGCGAAGCCGTTACTCGATGGAGCTCGCACTATCGACTTCCTCTTACCTCCTCCTTCTCTCTCACGTGGAGAACCGCATTATATTATTGCTTGCACGCTGCTCCCGTCGCCTCGACTCAAACGCGGTATAAAGACGTCGGCCGTATCAATTTTACGGCCGCTCTTTAATTTGAGATTCCGTCGCCTCCGCTAATTTCTTACCCCGCGTTGCTCCCGCAACGTCCGTGTCGCGCGTATAATCTCGTCTTATTAAGTCTTGCGCGAACAAAGTGGAACAGGTTTATAAACTTGCCTTACGCAATCGCTATTGTCAATCAGACGGGCGTTATCAAAAATCGCCACTTCGTCCAGTTCGTTAACTAGCCGACGCTGAATAGACGTTCCTTTCGCTCCCACTCTTCTGTCCACACTCAGAGAAATGTTTCGTAGCTCGAATTCTAAATGTCACATGGTAAAATGTATCGCTATTTTTTGTATCTGCTAGGAAATTGTACGTTAATAATTTACAGCAGCGACATTCTAACAATATGTGTGCAAGAAAATTTAGGTCCTGTTACTAATATTGAATGAGAAACCGATCTTAATCCGGATGGGCTCCACAGAGAGCTCCACTTTTTTACTATATTAGACAAATAGTTGAAATAAAAATTCTCTGTCGCCTATATTGATACAACACGTGTGTGAATGTCCGCTAGACATCTGTCCGTAATTTCTCGTATCTAGATAATTTTTGCTAGACCTGCATTTTTTCGAGTGTACGCTTCCGTAGAAGCTATATATCCGGACCATTGAAATCTCGCGCTATCCTCCCCCTTCTGTCCGTGTAATTCCTTCCTCCTTCGTCTCGCCGCGGCTGTCCGGAGGCCTGCTGTATAGTGGTATCTCCGATTTTTCTCGGTACATTAAATTATACTCGAGGGGACTGGTTGACGGCCACGAGCCCGCCTTGACCAGGGGCTTTCAGCGAGGAACTTCAACGAGTGTTTTACCCGTGATATGTTGTTAAGGACTTGTTAATTACAAAAGTGGCAGAACAGGATCGGCAGATAGGAACGTTGACTCGTTACCGGCTCGTCGCCGGCCGGTGCTTAGGTCTACCATCGTCGATCGCCCGGACGAATATCGCGATTAGAATTTTCCACGCAATCACGACAGCTTTTGCTGTTTCGACGGTTTATCGCGGAATTTCTCCTTCATCTTCCTTTTAATGCGTTCTTACATATTTCTATTCTCTAAATCTCTCATAGTGGAAATAACGGTATAGTAGCAATTTCTCTCGAAACTATAGTTGAAAAATATTGTCGCTTTGAATCGCAAAAGTGAATGTTTCACTCAAGTTCAGAGCGGATTCTAACTCTATCTGAGCGAATATTTAACTCGATTAGAGTAAATACGTTCTTGTGACGATCAAGTACAATTTCAAGTGAAAATATTACACACGTAAAATTTCAGCACGGAACATGTTGATGTAGCACGTGAAAGATAAGATTACGCAATGCAATGCATTGATGCAAATTTCTGGAAAGACGTGAACTTTGTTGATTAAACATTTGACCGCGCGGAAAATGCCAGCGGGCGCACTCGCGCTGCTCCCTTTTCGTACAAGAAGATTTTTGCCGAGCACTCTCTTAAGGTTGCGCGGTTCATTTTCCGAGAGCATGAGCATTGGACCCGTTATATACCGTGGCTCTTTTGATCGTGTATTCTCGTGACCTTTGCCGGCGCTCTCGGCTCCCACTTTCCCATCCATTTCGAAAAGATGCAAGCCGCTGAAAATAAAAACGCGGATGCTCCCGGCTTACCGTCGATACAACGTGGCGAATGATTGCGCGACGCGAAGTATATCACGCAACCCAATCACGAACGTCAATTGTTTGATTAGCCGTCGGAAATAATTCATCGAGTCGGACAAATGCCACGCGCATGTTTGATGATCGCCGATATTGCAGAGTCTCTCATGCAGAGTGTCCGAGCCAAGATCGATCGAGTGGTCGCTCAATCGATCTTATGCGCGAACGAATCTCAGGCGGAATGTTAAACGCGCGCGGTCGATCTCTTGACATTCACTATATTGAGGGGAAAAATATTTCGGAAATAAAAGATATTTATTCGATGGATACTAATAACATATTTGTACTTATATATATGTATTTTTTCCCCCGGGAAAATTTTTTCTTAAATCTGTAGTTTTATGAAGCTATTGAATTGTTTGTTCTAATGAAATTTAAAAAATTTCGAAAGAGAGACAGAGGTTTGAGTAAATGTTATTAGTAATTACCGAATAAATATGTTTTATTTTTTGGATATTTCTTCTTTCAGCGTAGATACACTGGAAATTTCCGATCACACGCATCGTATTTGGATATTCGTGTATCATGGCTGTTGATTACTCGAGGAAATGACAAGGATGTTCCAAGTATTGTTCAAATTCAGCGGCATTTGTAACGTAAAATTGTGAAGAAGGAAGCGATAATATCATTAATATTTCGTCGAATAATCGAGAATTTTCATATGTGAATCTGGCACAGACATAGTGTGATTGAGAATTTCTAGCGACCCTACACTAGAAGAAAACTCAATTTCCGCGACTGACACCAAATGCTAATTGTCGAGAAATGTTCGTCGATAATTGATGACCGATATTATCGAGAAGAATTTTCCGCGTGCAGTAAATGTCGAGAGATCAACGCTGGTGAGTGTACATTGTGATTGCAAATTCTTCGTGTCATTAGGCGAACCGCAAAACGGGCGGTCGCGGTATTTAGGGTGGGACTCGCGCGTCCGCGAATAATAATCATTATCACGCGGCGTACACCGTTACCACGATATTTGCGTTATTCCTGGGGATCGATGACTACAATGTCTCTCCTCTTCTGTCTCGCGCTCGGGAGTTCGCATCTTCTTTCTATTATTCTTGGGTAGATATTACTTATTCCGCTGAAGTAATGGTAACAAGACGTGATGACAATGTATACAGACGTGACTCGATTAACATAAAGTATTGTTTTATTCTCTCGAGCTACCTGAGAAAATGGCGCACAAAGCTTGCATCGAAATAGTAGATTTAATTGTCATGCCGTGAATATCGCGCGCGCGCTTTGTCATTTTATTGCATTAACTGAAAATGAGGAACTGCATCACCGTACCGTGTTGTAAATTCGCTTTAACACGCCTTTGATATTCCGGCGAGAGCACGTTTGAGGAGGGTGATACCCTCGCTCCCTTCGCAAAAATATAATTCGAGAAGCGATGCGGCCGGCAGTATCGAGAGACACGTTTTAACGGATCGTTATCCGAATATACAAATCAATCGATCGCGTCGACATTTTTCTCCTTTCCTCCGTGGTTTTTTTTTTTTTTTCGGAAAAATCCAAAAGACGCAAACGTTGGACGTGACTGTGGCAACGTATGATCGATGAGGGGACGGGCGAAAGTCACGCAGTGAGACAAAACAGAACAGGAGGATTAGAAACATAAAAATAGAGCGTTTTTTTTTATTATTCAGTCATAGTTTTTATTCTAATAATATTTTTCTCGTTGTGTCGAATATCTTTCGAGACATGAGATAACCGCTTGCGAGGAAAGCTAAAGAGGACGATTTCACGTTTGTACATTGTGTATATCTCGGATATTTTTAGCAGCGCGTATTTTCGCGTAAACGCGCGCACTTTGAATTCGACCGTCGCATTTCGGATAAGAGTACATGTAATGTCCACCGCGTAAGTAAAATTTGTTTTATCATCAGGTCGCGTTCTGTCTCTTGCTTCGCTTCAGATGTTGTCGAAAAACGCGATCGGGTCCACGCGAGCGCGACTGACTTTCGCGAAGAAGCGTTTCGTACATACACAATTTATATGTACTCCTCGTGCGCGTAAATAAACATGAGTAAGATACAAATTGTTCGTGATTGTTGAATTCGACTGTGGAAGGAGCGATCTGCGGCTTTTCCGACGGCGAAATGGAACTGTCGAATTCAAAAGGTAGAGGCGACTCAGGCGGTGCGCGACGGACAGATTACACTTTCTTAAATTAATCAAATCAATAATCAAAACGTTCTTCGTCGTTCGCACTGCAACGTCACTGTGTCTGCCTGTTATATGTACTCGTACGGCACGAAATTCAGTCGCGAAAGCGCATATCCAACAGTCGCACACTGGAGTCTCTCTCTCTCTCTCCGTCGATCGAGAATCGGGACGAAATAAATAAGACCTAAGGTAATACTTTACAACAATCGTATTCATGCTCGGAATTCGGTCGTTTATCACCGTGGATAAAGAGGGGGCGGGGAAAAACGTTAGTTCTCGTCTCTCGCTGGACAATTCGCAAACTCGTGTATGTATGTGCTTGCGCACAAATCCTCCGGATGAAATGAGAGAACTCGTCGTCAATCGGAAAAATGGGGGAGTAAATGCAGATACAATTAAATATACGTAATTGTCATTAGAAAGATCGGTATCACTGTTGGTACAGTGGCTCGAGTCAAGAGCCTACCTAAACGGCCAAATCGAGGCGCGAAACACGTCGGGACACACACACACACACACACACTCCGGTGTATATCCTGTGAGAGGCGGAGGCTGTCGAGATGGAGAGAGAGAAAGATGGCAACAAAATGAAAGTAATTATCAACGGCAACAACAGTTGCGACAAGCGTTCATCCGACAAAAATGCTTTTAACGGTCGACCGGCAACACTATTTACATTTATTCCGAATGCGTGCCATCCCCGGCAAACTACGAACGATTTTCGTAACAAACAACGCGTTTGTAGAAGAGCAAAGAATTTTAAGTGAGCGCTTACACGAGCGCGTTTTATCGGGCGGCGATGATTGCCCGAGTATGCCGCGACAGCATAGTGGTTTCAAAGAAAACGTTTTTGGCCAAAACTCTGAATTTTGATAAAAAGTATATCCTTTGTATATATATATATATATATGTATATGTAGGTGTATTTAAAGGTATTGAAAAATAATTATTTGTAAGCGACTCAACATTTGTCCCATTTTCTTTTTAGATAAATACAAAATAACTCGATTTTCGTACTAATGGTAATGGTACTAATGGTAATGGTCTTTTAAACGGTACATTGTTTCTTTTATTACGATATTCTTGAATATAAAGGATTTTATTATTTATTATTTTCTGATTCTCTCCAAACCTTATGCAAAGTCCAATAGGACACGCTATACGAATGTAAAAAAGATTAGTTATTTTCAAAAATTTTTAGAAATTCAATATTTTTCCTGAAATATTGGCGAGGAGATATTTTTTTATTGTAAAATTACGCTTACGTCAACTACAAATCTATTAGGTATTACCTCACATCAGAAACAAAAAAAGAAAACAATGAAATTACTTGCTTCGAGGCATGTTTTCATTCATACATACATTCATGTATATATAATACTATAATTATTATTGAAACTAATATATCTAGCACAATTCTGGTAACATGACAGATGTGACTAAACTTTTGAACGAGCAATATTGCTAGCCTCACATTTACCAATGAATGATAAAAGAACAATAAACGATAACAACTTCTGATAATTTGACTACGGGACATTGTAAAATTACATTTATATGAACTTAAGATGAAACTAAAGATGAGTTTTGGCCAAGAAATATCTACGTTAGACCACTGTGGGCTGGTCGTCCGGCTGCAAGCGCATCTCTCTCTCTCTCTCTCTGTCATTTTCTCACCCCATCTTGCTCTCTTTCTACGATCCATGGCGTGCAGGCACACACAAACACACACACACACACACACACACATATATCCACGTTGACACGCGTGCAACACTACCGTCACCTGGCTGTGATTCCCCACGAGCCGAATGGCGCGCTGGTACCATCGCTGTAACTCGAGCGACCAACGCGTGCGACATGTTCTATTTACAACGAGCTTCAACTATCCACCCCCTCGTCGAGTGCGCTCCGGTGCGACTATATAATTTACACAGGTTCTCCGAGAATCGCGCCAGCTTTTCGAACATCTCCGCGTCACCTTATGTACACCTGCTCTCACTCCACGTGGCACGATAGGCGCGCATTTGTACAGACAAATTTGTCGTTTATGTACACACTGTATATATGCATCGTCGGTGACAGGAGTAACGCGTTTAGGCGAACTTGACGATATCATATGTGAACGGACACGGTGCGCGAGGAGGTTCGATTGTTGTGCTGCCGTCGGACCGGCGGCGGCTGCTGCCTCGCGCTCCTCTGCGTCGTCCGCTGATTGTTCGGCACGTCGGGCAGCGCGAAGCGCAGCTTCTCCCAAAAGAGCTTGTCGCCCCACTGCAGGTATGTGTTGGTCTTGAGGTACAGCCGTATGTCCGGATCGAGGTCGCGCTGATGCACGTCGCCTACGAGCACGAGTATCAGCCGGCGTCTCCTGTCCCTGAGCACTTGATGATGGGCCGACTTGAAGTCGAAGCGGCACCACTCAGACTTGATGAAGTTCTCGGACAGCACCATGATGGTGCGGCGGGACGATTCGACCGCCTGGACGATCGTGTCAGCGATGAAGCTGCCGACCGGGAAGTCCCGGTAATGCAGGCACAGTTTGTAGGAGGGATTGCCCATCTCGAGGACCGGCGCGAGCTCCTCCGCGACGAAGGCCTCGTCCTTCGAGCTGTAGCTGACGAACGCGTCGAACAGCTTGTCGCGGTCGTCGCGGTCGAGCTCGCGGTGGCTCCGGTAGAATATCCGCACGCCGAAGCGCGAGTGGAACCAGACGCGCAGCTCGTGACGGAAGACGAAAGCGAGCATGCAGAGCAACATGAGGAGGAGGGAGCCGGCGAGGGTGGCGACGAGGAGCGGCAGGTAGTCCTGCAGCAGCTGCTTCTCGATGATGGTCTTGGTGTAGTTGCGCTGCGCCGCCTCGTTGTCGACGCTGGTGGTCGCGCACACGCTCACCGCGCTGTGGTTGCGCGTCATCGCGAAGCCGAACTCGTCGTCGGCGAACACCTCGTCGCCGAACGCCTCGAACTCGGTGAGGTTGTAGACGCAGCGCAGCGCGGACGCGTCGGCGACGTTGACGCCCGGCTGGCGCGCCCACTCGCGGTAACTCCTGAGATAGTCGCACTCGCAGGACCACGGGTTGCCGGCCAGGCTGAGCTCGAGGGCGGCGGCCGGCAGCGACCAGACCGCCAGGAGGCTGGTCAGCCGGTTGTTCTGCAGGCGCAGCAGGCGCAGCGAGCGCAGCGGCGCGAACGTCTCGTTGCCGATGGCGGCGATGCGGTTGCGCTGCAGGTGCAGCTGCCGCAGCGCGTCCAGGCCCTCGAACTCGTGGCCGCGCAGCTCGCGTATCCGGTTGTCCTGCAGGTGCAGGTCCTCGAGGTCGCGCAGCCCGTTGAACGAGCGGTTCTGCACGATCTCGATGTTGGAAGCGTTGAGGAAGAGCACCTTCAGCTTCTTGCGGCCGATGAACGCGTGGCTGGAGACGAGGCGCAGGTCGTTGCCGTCGAGGTAGAGGCGCGTCGCGTCCATCGGTATCCGCTCCGGCAGCCGAGCGCTGTGCCCGCCGTTCGAGCAGTCGACCACGTTCGCCGACCAGGACTGGTCGTGGTAGCAGGTGCAGTTCTGCGGACAGGTCATCTCGCAGTCGCACGCGTCGAAGTCGCAGCAGTGGCAGAGGGCGAAGCAGTGGGCGTCGTACTTGCAGAGGAACTGCGAGTGGGACGCCTCGACCAGCGGCACGAACGCGTGCTCCCGGTCGTAGAGCAGCTTGCAGTAGATGCTCTCGAGGTCCATTACGCGGGGCTGCACGCGCGTCTGGTTCTGCCGGTTGACGCGCTGCAGCCACTCCATCGTGCAGTCGCAGAGGTACTGGTTGTCGCCGATGTAGAACTCCGGCAACGGCCGGTCCGCCGGCACCGCGCTTATGCGCAGCGCGTACGGCTCGAGGTTGCGTATCTGGTTGCCCTTCAGGTCGACGCGCGTCAGGTTCGGCTTCTTGAAGAACGAGTAGCTCTGCACCTTGGAGATGAGGTTGTCGTTCAGGAAGAGCAGTTCCACGCTCATCGGTATCGCGTTCCCGGTGATCTCGGTCAGCCGGTTCTCGCTGGCGTCGAAGGTGCTCAGCTGCAGCTGCGTCTCGATCTCGTAGTAATTGCCGAGCTCCCGGATCTCGTTCGAGTGTATGTCCAACCACTGCAGCCCGGTCGGTATCATCGCGTAGTCGAACCACTTGAGCCGATTGTCGCTCACGTTCAGCCAGACGAGATTCGGCAGGTGGGTGAACAGCCCGGCGATGTCGGCCAGCTGATTGCCGTCCAGACGGATCGCCTGCAGATTCAGGTTCTCGTCGAAGGTTCCGCTCTCGATGTACTGTATGCGGTTGCGCGAGAGGTTGAGGATCTTCAGTTCCTTTATGCGATCGAACACGCCCTTGGTGAGATTGCCGATGTGGTTCTCGGTCAGTCGCAGCCCGTAAAGCTGCGCCACGTGGTCGAAGGTGCCGCTCGGTATCTCGGAGATGAGGTTCTCGCCGAGGTCGAGGGTGCGCAGCAGGGGAGTGGCCTTCAGGGCGTCCGGCACCGACGTTAGCCGATTACCGTTGAGATGGAGGTCCTGCAGGGACGAGGCGTTCCTCAACGAGCTCGGGTGTATCGTGTGCAGCCGGTTGTTGTCCAGCGAGAGCAGGCTCAGCACGTAGAGGCCGCTCAGCGTGGTGGCGTCCACCACGGTCAACTGGTTGTCGCTGAGCAGCAGCGTGTGCAGGTTGTACAGCGCCGAGAACGTGTTCTCCGGCAGGCTCTCCAGCATGTTCTCCTGCAGTCGCAGTATCTGCAGGCTGTAGAGGTCGCGGAAGACCGTCGGATCGAGCCGGGCGATCCGATTGCTCGAGAGGTCCAGCACCACCAGCCGCACCAAACCGCCGAACGTGGCGGCGTTCACCCACTCCGCCGTCAGCTCGTTGTGCGACAGGTCCAGGACCAATAGCTGCGTCAGCTCGGCGAACAGCCCGGGCGGCAGCACGCCCAGCGTGTTGTTTCGCAGATGTATCTCCTGTATGTCCCTCGCGTCGGCGAACAGCTCCGGCGGCAGGCTGGCCAGCCGGTTGTCGGCGAGCCGCAGGACCGCCAGCGAGGAGAGGCCCTCGAACGCGCGGTCCGCCATGAAGCCGATGGCGTTGCAGCGCAAATCTAGGCTGTGCAGCCGCGTCAGCCCGGAGAACGCCGCGCTCGGCAGCGACTCGATGCTGTTGTTGCTCAGATCCAGTTCGCGCAGACTCGTCAGGCACTTGGCCGCGTGGAAGCGGAAGCTCGCGATGTCGCGCAGCCGGTTCCGCGTCAGATTCAGCACCTCGAGATTTACCAAAGGACAGAGCGCGCCCTCCGGTATGCTCCACATGTTGTTCTCCCCGAGGTCGAGCTTCTCCAGCTGGCGCAGTTCGTCGGTGAAGGCGCCCGCGGAGACCTCGAGCGCCATCGCCGACCAGTCGGTGTTGTGCGTCCTCACGGTTAGATTACGCAGCTCCCGCAGGCCCTTGAACGCGTCGTCCGACAAATTGCCGATCTTGCAATACTCGATTACGAGCTCGCGCAGCTCGACCAACGGCCGGAAGCTGCCGGCGCTCAGGGAGCTCTGGTAGAAGAGACCGTCGCTGCATTCCAGCCGCAGCCGCACCGTGTGCTGCGGCTGTATCACGCTGAAATTCGTGTTCTCCAGCTCGCTGTTGATAGTCCGCAGACGGCACACGAGCGAGACGTCGTCCTCGGCGTCGCCGGTCGTCACCCACTTGCACTCGTCTGGCGCCTTGTAGCGGAGCGCCTTGCTCAGCGACGCGCCGAGGACGCCGAATATCGTGCCCAGCAGTATGGCGAAGAAGGCAGGACTGCCCCGCATCTTTCTCGCTCCGAGAGAGAGAGAGCGGTGATCGATGTGCCCACCACCACCACCACCCCCCCCGTCGTCGACGTCGTCGTGGCCGTCGTCGTCGTCGTTGCCTCTCCTCCCTCTTTATCCCACTAGCAACGCCTCGTGTGACCGGCGTCGATCCATTTAAACCACCGGTCGCCGTGATTTTACCTCGCGTCATCCATATCTCTCTCTCCCTTTCTCGCCTCTACTCCTTGTTCCCGACACCGACGAGATCGGCGCGCCTCTTCACTTCGCCTTACGGCCCCGGCGGTTTCATCCTCGGCGATTCGGCCAGACGACGGTGCGCTTAACGGAACGAACGAGCGAGCGAGAAAGAGAGAGGAGGAACGGGTTCGGCGACCTCGAGATTATCGCCTCCGACGTGGTGAGAAAAATCTCGTGAACGACGAAAAGTCAGCGGGTATGACGCGCGCGTATACGGCTCCGGTAGGGCCCACGGTTCTTCCAGGACTGGTTGGCGAAGTCGTAAGGCCCCGGCGGGCTCCGTTACCCTTCCCCCCGCTGCTCACCTCCTGCCACCTTCCGCTATAGCCGCTCTCACCGCTCCCCGGCCGTCCTTCCTTCTCCCACTCGGTTCTACCTTCTCTTCGTCGTCGTCCTCGTCGTCCGGGTCCCGACGTTCTGGCAAGCCTATAAAAACAAGACAGGTACACTCTCCGGGTCCTTACAGTGGCTCCTTCGCCTCTCTCTCCCTCTTTTTCTCTTTCTGCAACCTCCTCCGTCCACTACGTTCTTATTTCCTCGTCCCTCCTCTCCTTTTTTTTCCATCTCTCTCGCTCGCTCGCTCGTTTTCTCTCTTCGTACCGCGCTTCACTCTCCGCATCTCGTGTTCCCCTCGTTCTCCTCTCCTCTCTCTTTTTCTCTTTTTCGTCCCTGTCGATCTTCCCTCTGCTCCTCCCTTCCTCTCCATTCTTTCGCCGTATCGCCGTTCGATCCATCCGCGAAACCTCGCCGCCTCGCCGTCATCTGTTCTCACATCGTTTCTACGATTCTGTCACGTAGAATGGGGCCGCGAAAAGAAGAAAAAAGTGCGTTTACGCTCTCGTATTCTCGCTTGTCCTGCGCTTCGCAAATACCTTTTACGGATTTCCCGCACGTTCGTGCGTACTCAACGATAAAAACCGCTTCGGTTTGCATTTTGCGCTAATTAATTCGCGCGCGCGTTTTCGAGACGGGTAATGATGAAAGAGCTCATAATCGCCTTTCGCTCCAATTCATTCACTTTGTCGTATTTGATCAAGATAAATTTTCAAGTCTTTCGAGTCGGTGCGCGAGGAATTAACGCAAACAACCTCGTAAGAATAAGAAAGCCTTCACTGTTAAGCACGAGACACGCTTATTTCGATGCTCGAAAACGCAAACAAAGTTTCGCTTGTTACACGGAACCTTTGATTTCAAGCGTCCCTAATGTGTCTTCGGAGTTAGTTCCGTTTTACCTGGCCGAGCCTTTAAACTATATTTGGGATTCGCACACTTTTATCCCATCGAGCGTGAAACGATCGGTCACATTGTGTTAGAAATTGTGTGTAACACCATGTCAAGTGGTCCTAGTAGTCTCCTACGGAGAAGTCCGCCGCCTCCTTTCAGAAAACAGGGCTTAGCAGGCTCGCTCTCTCGTCGTTGGAAAGTGATTTGTTACCTTTACCTGCTCAAAGTAGGGTTCCCCGTCTCGGCGAAGGGTCTTCTAAATACATCCTCATCGCTTAAATCAGCGATCCAACCTGCCCCATTCATCGAAAATTAAATGACTATAGACGTACGCGCCAAGTTGGGAATCGATCATCGACGATCACTCGTGATTACGTCCTTTATCATATGGAATTACGCCGGCCTATATTAACCAGTTAACGTTAACAACAATTATTATATAATGCGATAGCCTGCGTAATTATGAAAAGTAACGGTCAAGGAGAAACCTTAGGAAGAGATGAATACGATTCCATTGATGAACGAACGTCCAGTTTCGGTTTGCGCTCGGTGCGACGTTTGACATCGGTATCGTATTTCTCTAAACTACCGTCTCGATTGTACTTAATGCGCGCTTCTCGATGCATTCTCTCCTTCCACGCGGTGGAACACACGGTGATAACTCACTCGGCGGGAATAGTAAATCGGCGAAACGACGGCCGTGAGAACGCTTCTCGCCGGCATTGTCAGTGCCGATAGAAGAGCGAGTAGACCGCTGATTTCGCAATTAAGCGCGCGTTTTATCATACGTGCTCATTGATCGTTATGATCCCCGCCAAGGCCGCGAGCCTTTAAATCGGTATTATATTTCACTCTTCCGCCGATCTCAGCCAGGCCGGGTAGTAATTGCAGACGCGGTGGACTGCATTTTAGCCATCTATAAGCGCCCGCAATATTATTCCGGGGTGTTTTGCGGATTAACCGTGTATCACGCACTGTAAAACGAGACTGCAACCTGCTAACTACCTCGATTACCTCACGCGCGCGAGCGAGCACACACTTCGCGCCATTCTTTCTCATTACACAAATACCTCGAGTTCTTCCGGGAAAGAGTCACTTTATTCTCGGGATTATTCCCGCCGGCTCTCATCGGGACGCAATTTTTGGCTGATATTACATCCCCATCGCCAATTATCGCTCGCGAGCGCGCGATGATGTACGCGAACTTCTCGTTCCGCCGGCTGCGTAAGCTCATTCTTTCAATCCTTTTTCAAAAATAAGACAAGAAAGTTCAAGCGCTTCTCCACACGAATGGCGCTATATTTTATTAAAAGAATAATATTAGAGAGTAATATTCTACAAAGTAATAGGAATAAAAATGGTATCCAGTTTATGCGCTTCATTAGTCGAATAAGATATACAAAAGAAATTTAAAAACATGCGATAAAATATATAAAAAAAGTATTGCTATATAATATAATACAATGGAAGGAGAATGTTATTTAAAAATTATTGCGCGATAGAAATTATATTAATTCCTGTAAAAGAAGCGATATCAAAAAGTTACGCCAAATGAGCATAACTCATTCAGACTTGAAAGCATTCCGATGACGTTTCTTTATTGTGAAACTTGACGATTTTGTACTTTGAACTGGAATATGTGCTGCGCACTTTGTCGTTATACAGATCATTTTTGATTGGGGGGGGGGGGGG